ATCCTTTATGGTCTTTTTAGTTCTTTTCTGTAAGAAAAATGGATTAGATGACATTCTTTGCAATAAGACAGAAAACATTAGATACACTGATTCCTTTATCTTTTCTCCTTTTACACATTTAATGAAGAATATAGGTCCTTTGTTCTCAGTCACTGAAGAGTCTGGTTAAAGGCATTTACAGTATGATCCCTTTGAAGAGGAACCAACAGTCTTGTGCTTATGAAGTCACAACAGAACTTGTGGGGGTTCAGGAACAGGAATGTGGCAATTCTTATCTATTAACAGTAAGGCGTCAGGAAGTCTGGTGGGGGTTTGTGTGAGAGATGTTATTTCGAGCCACAAAGGAAGTTCCATGCAAAAGTCTTTAGTTATAGTCTGAAGTCAAAGTGGGTTTTCTTCCTTCCTGAGCCGTTGTCATAGGAAGAAATGAAATCTAATCAGAAATGATTATTTAAATGCAGGAAAATGCTACAAATCCCCCTTTGATTATAATCAGTAAGCTGTGAAAAGTTAATGGGTTATAATCACGTGATGGTTTTCCTGCTTCTTGTGGCATGAACAGTCTTCCATGTCCTTCCCACGTGTGTGAGGATCAGTTCTCAGTCAGTAGGAGCAACAGTCCTGGAGAGCTCTTCAAAACAGTAGAACAAAGTCAGTAATCCACAAAACAGGTCAGTGTTATTTCCATACAAAACCAGAGTTCGTCCTCGAGAAGGCAGGGCTGCCTTTGGCCTCTGGAGGGCTGATGGGTTGACCTCTGGAGGGCTGATGGAGTTGACCTCTGGAGGGCTGATGTTGGATCACTGGATGATGGGGTATGTTAAACATTTGCATAGAGACATCAGGTGCTCAGTAAATAAAATTTTATCTATAGATTAGCTTATCGTTTCCTAATGAACAAAACAAACAAAAAGAAAAACCTAAGGTTTAAAAACATGCATGTATAAAGTCGGTTGACTTACAAGTGAATCAATAAATGATAAGCTAATAGTAACATTCTAACAGCGATTTTCTAACATCACTGGGTTTCTATTCATTCTGATGAACTTAAAAGATCTTATTTAAAATATCTTTGTTTTTCTTTAAAGGGGCACATGCAAAATATTTTAGCTTAACAAAAGTGGGAGATATTTAAAGGGGCACATGGGATGTGGTTCTGCTTAACCATGTGTAAGTCTGGAGAAGACTTATTATCAACTTTAACACATTGTTCGACTAAGTGTGAGCACAGCTTAACAACACAAACTTCATTCTAAGTACCTCCTGTACTAGTTGGAGTTAGCATTTGTTAGCGGTTAGCTCCAGTCTGAATTGGTGGTCAAGAAAAGTTGGTTCTAAGATTAAAGGTCCTAGTTTTTAGTCTAAACTACGTAGTTTAATAGTTGAGTTTTATCAACTTTGATGTTAGATTTCTGAAAACTCTTTAATGCTGATGTTTTTCAGGTGTGTCTTAAGTGATCTTTTCTCGTTCGTTTGGACTCATTAAAATATTTCTTCTTGTAGCGCTGTGGCTTTTTTTTATTCTTCTAGCGCCGTGGCTCTCTGGAGCCCTAGCACTTCTGAAACTTACAATAAAATGGTAAATGGTACTGAACTCATAGAGCACTTTTTCAAGTCCCTCCGGACCCCAAAGCGCTTTACACTAACAGACATTCACCCATTCACACTCACATTCACACACTGATGATGGCAANACTGATGATGGCAAACTACACTGTAGCCACAGCTGCCCTGGGGCACACTGACAGAGGTGGGGCTGCCATGCACCGGCGCCACTGGACCCTCTGACCACCATCAGTAGGCAAGGTAGGTGAAGTGTCTTGCCCAAGGACACAACGACTGAGACGGCTGGACGGGGGGATCGAACCAGCAACCTTCTGGTTCCAAGACGACTCCCCTAGATATAGTCTGAAGTCAAAGTGGGTTTTCTTCCTTCCTGAGCCGTCGTCATAGGAACAAGTGAAATCTAATCAGAAATTATTATTTATATGCAGGAAAATGCTACAATAGCCTTCTCCAAATCAGTGCGACTTAAAAAGAGATTTAACCAGATTTGGGGCGGCTGTGGCAGAGTGGTTAGGGGAGTCGTCCTGGAACCTGAAGGTCACCGGCTCGATCCCCCATTTAGCTGTCACAGTTTTTGTGTCCGTGGGCAAGATACTTAACCCCAATTCCTCTGATGTGTGTCCCATCAGTATATGAATGTGATTGTCACTGATTAGTCTCCATAGATGATTGTATATTTTAGCTTTGTAGGAGATCTGGTAGAGTGCTGTGTAAATGGGTAAATGAGGACACAGATTATTGTGAAGCGCTTTGAGTATCCTGGTTGGGTAGAAAGGCGCTATACCAGTACAGTCCATTTACCATAACTTTGGTCAATAGATGTAAACATCAAAATAAGTGTGTTTTCAGATTAATTTGTTTGGGCCAGATGTGAAATATTTCTCCCTGTAGGATCAAAACATAGTCAATTCAGTCCAGTAAAGCTTTATTTCTTCACCACAGGGTGGCGTTTACATCAGTGGCAGCCGACCCATCTATTGTCAACCTCAGTTATGGTTATCCAGACATCCCTCCACCTTCTTACGTCAAGGAGGCTCTAGTGAAGTCTGTGTCAGTGGACCACATGAACCAGTACACCCGAGGCTTCGTAAGTTGGAACAGCAGCAGCAGTGACTCACTGCAGTCGACTAGAAAGCAAACAATCAACGAATGTCATCATTAAAAACTTCCCATAACCCAAAACTCACAGTTAGCATTACCTGCTGGGCTTTGCTTCTCTCTCRCCCACTGCTGGGATTTAATTTATGATAATGTGCCATCTGAATTGGACTGCTGTGTCATGGAGAACTAACCTGAGGTGACACCAGATCTGGCACCTAAATTAAACKGGTAAATACGGTTTAATTCAAGATTAATAAAGCTTAGACAAAAGATACACACACAGGTCTTTTTTTTATTATTATCTGGAGTAACCTATGTAAGAGGATTAGGGCCAAGGTGCAAAAACATTTTTGTTTTTCTGAATGCTGACTGTTTCTCAAGATTTTTGAAGAAAAAAAATTGAATTCTAGCTTTTTTTCCAGTAATCTTAAAGTCAGAATCCTGCTAAAGACAGCATTTAAAATCAGTTCTGTGCTAATTATATATTCTGCATAGATCAACATTGATTGATAGATTCCCTAAAAAAGTCTATTGATCATTGATTTTTTTTAAGTTATTGCTATGTAGCCCAATGCTTTGGCCTTGAGAGGGCAGGGTACCTTTTGAATACAGAATGAAGATGGACAGCAGAAAGATTTCTATTATTCATTAAAAGTGTGTGTAGTTTTTTTAAAAATAAAAATGACAGAACATGAAAAAGCCTGCAATTTAATTTGCTTTAACTGGATCTTATATATCTCACATAAATAACTAAAATAACTTAAAATATCTAGACATGAACCAATTTCAGATACATGGAATGTAACTGTGGCGAAGCCGATTAAATGTAAAAATGACCTGCCATATACGTGAGCTTCTGCATGCTGCTGAAAATGCTGTTGTGCTCCCAGGGCAGAAATCAATTGCTGAATTAGCAAAATGGACTTTTGAACTAGCAGATGTCTATATCTATTTTTATCTGCACTGTTAACCAGAAAAAAGCAACAGGTTTTTCCTCCTCTGACTCTGCTGTGAAAAAAACTACTGCGATTGGAAATGCTTTGCTCTGTGCAATGTACAGTGCAAGGGAGGTAGAAATTATAAGGATGTATCCCCCGCGA